TTGTGTGATTAGTTAATCATTTATCTGTATGCGTTACACTACTTTTTACCCGAAAAAGTAGTTACGTTAACAACACTGCTATCAGTGGTTTAGGCTGGTAGTGTAATGGTGTTGGGGAAATTTTCTTGGCACACTTTGCAGTAGCACCTCAATGCCTGAGAGGAGTCGGATCAAGATCCAAAGGGTGGAGATGGGGTAGGATTAGGGTTGGGTTTAGGGATGAAGGGGCGGAGTTGGGTAGGTTTAGAAATATGTAAGGTGGGAGGAGTTGGATCTGGACCCGACTCCTCCCCGTGGATTTCATGTTCTGCAGTGAGAACCAACAGACTACCGTTTAACTTACCGTTTAAACACCACAGACTACCCGAGTACTTCGCATCTGGATAAAACGCACCATGTACAAAGCTCAAATCCTCTCAAACTGGTTTCTTCAACATGGCATGAGTTCACTAGACCTCAAATGTCATCCACAGTCACTAGATCTCAATTAATAGGGAACCTTCGGGATGTGGTGGAACGGGAGATTTGCATCATGGATGAGCAGCCAACAAATCAGCAGCAACCGCGTGATCGGATGCAAGTGAGTGAGTGCGAGTGTATAATTCCAGTAATTAATAGACTAATGAAATTGACTTTTTTTGCATTCCAGTAATGAGAATATGTTGTGTGATTAGTTAATCATTTATCTGTTATATAATTTCACATTTAATAATTAAAATAAAAGGTGCAAAAAATTCAATTGTCTTATTTTCAACATATATTTTATATTTATAGATAGTAACAGACAGAACTATTTTAACATTAGATAGATTTATTTAATTAGTCTGTTAATATCAGTTATGAGCGTCCGTTTGTGATTAACCTCACTCACCTGTTATACTGACCCAGGTGCTGCTCCATCTCAGTGATGTGCCTCAGTTTGTGCAGGAACCATTTGTCTATGGCAGTGAGGTTATGGATCTGATCAACGGTCACACCACTGTGCAAGGCCTTGAAAAACAAAACAATCAACATAATGTCTAAAATCAGCAAACGATACTATAAATGGCATGAACATAAACAGCCTTTTCTAATAAATGATGGCGATCTACAAGAAATTGTGGGGTCATTGTTAAATGAGAAATAATGGCTCTTGATTGTTGGCTGTTAGCCTGCAGTGTCCTTGAATACAGAGCAGAGCCAATGAGCTGTAACTCGCTGTTGCTGTAGCGCTGTGGGGGGGATGGAGCTCCTGGCCAATCAGGACGCAGCACTTAATAGCTTGTCTGCTTATAGGAGGCATAACCTGCTCTGAATGAAATTATGTGCCTGGAGACTAACATCAAACTCTAATGCCACAAAAGCGAGACCAACCTTGAGAGTTATTGATGTCTCATGTCTCGACAGGATTTGGCCTATTATTCCTTAATAAATCTGCCAGCATCAATGCGTTCATTTGACAGTCACATAACACGTTTTTTGATGAGAAGTTGGTCGTTTTCTCTTTAGGCAGCCAGGTATTTTAATTTTTAATGAATGTCCAATTGATACAGAGCAGTTTTGTATCATCTTAAAGGGATTTATTTACCAATAATGACTGACTTGCCCTAGTACTGCACAGCTACTAACAAGACAAGTAAATAAACAGGCACACAACATTGATTTAAACTGAAACAGGAAAAGGAGAGGAAAGAGATCACTGAGAGCAACAAGAAACTAGGAAAATGGTGGCCAGTGACAATAAGCACACAGTTCAATGGACATCATACAAAAATAATTTAACACATAATAAGGTGAGTGGCCAAGCACAATCAAGGATTCTGTCCCTTGTAATCTAATGTAATCCTCATAGGGAAGAATAAATTCCAAGGACCCCCCTCATATTTATAACAGTGATTGAGTACAAAGTGTGTGAGCAGCTAATGAAATATTTTTGCACAAATGGTCTCCACCCAGGGTCCTATATGCAGGAATTTCTAAATAGCCAACTAAGGTCCCAAAAGTGATCTTGCTAGGGATCACTTAAGATCCCTAACCCAACCCCGGCCCCTTCGCGCTCAGCTTGCAGTTTCTGTGAACATAAGTCCCGCCTACTTTGAATTCATCTCCGACTCAAATATTTTGACATGGCCGAGCTGTTAGTCTGACGAGAAGGTCAGTTATCACCCTGGACCTCTGGGACCCCAATTGTGGGTACGGCCCTGTCCCTATGCACTTTTATTTTGATAATGATCAGACTTCTAATGTCAAATCTAGCAATGGTAGAACTGATTGTGTGCGCACGCGAGACACAACTTGGGATTTTTTCCTCAGCAATAGAAACAAAGATAAGGCAAGAGTACATCATTCGAAATGGTAAAGTGTCCATTTTGTATTTGTGTATAGGCTACATTATAAATGACTACAAAATGTCATGCCTTTTAAAAACAAAGAAAACTCTGTCTCCTTTCTGGCACAGGTTCCGCAAAATCAACCAAAACACAGCAAATAGTCTACTTTTTTTATTATTATTATAAATATGTATTTATTTACATATACATTTGACGCAGAGACATAAGAAATACAGATAGATTATCTATCTATAGAAACCTTTAAGTGTCTACTTTGTATTATTTGACGTTAAATGCATTAATACTTTGGAATAAATAGCATGTTTTCAGATGATAAAGAAAAAAAAAACGGTAGGCTGTTATAAATGATTTTGCGGACCCCCTGGCTATAGTCCACAGACCCTACTTGGAGAACCACTGATCTAGACTGTGATGCACATCATGAGTCACAAACCTGGGCGAGTGAGAAGATACGAGTACTTGAAGGCATGGAAAGCTCTTGCTGCATGTCGTGCTGCTCTGCCCAGGCTCTTTTCAGAGGTAGACGTGGTACAAAGCCGTCCACTGAGGGGTGGCACATTCGCAAAGCCTTCTGGATGCTCTCCTCGAAGGTTCGGCCAACTGCCATGACCTGTGAGGGGAGGAAATTAGTGGAAAGGATGGAGACGGAAGCCTTTTTTTGCCTATTTCTGTAAATCATCAGCACTGAATTAACTGTGATACAGACAGAAATTGGCAATACAGAATTAAAATCCTAGTTTGGTCTTGGATTAGTTTTAATCTGTGCTAGAAAGCGGCAGCGTTCGATTGCCATGACAACAGCCGCACCTCTCCAACACTCTTCATGGCACTGCCGATCTCCTGAGACATCCCTTGGAAGCGGTCCAGATCCCAGCGAGGGATTTTGGTGACAATGTAATCCAAACTGGGCTCGAAACAGGCCGTGGTCTGCTCCGATACCGCATTCTTTATGTCAGGCAGAGGAATGCCCAGAGCTAGCTTAGCAGCTACAAATGCTAGTGGATACCTTAGGAGAAAGGGTCAGAAAGCCACATTGTCACACAATGGATAACATTATCTACAATGATAGAACAATAACAACTGCAACTTATAATTATTTACATTTCATCGCACCCCAAAATTACATATTTTGAGATCTCAATTGTTTCTCCTAGACAGCAATGAAATTGTGACTGAGACTGAGTCTCAGCAGTTTCCCAAAGTCTGCTTAGCTGAACAATGATCAAAATATCTAACTTGTGATATCCATATGTAACATAAATTATCTTATACTTATCCTAATAAATTTAAGGAGAAACATCTGAGAAAGTTGATATTAATAAATTAAAATTATATTTTCCAATTGAAATTTAGAAATTATTAATAAAACCTAGCCCTTAGCACAATTTAAATAACAATGCTTTCCAAAAAAAAAAACCCTCCATAATGTTTTTTTTTTGAAGAAAAAAAAATTATAAGAATAGCCACACAATGTATTAAAACTATTTTTGCCTCTTCACAGTAATCTTTTTATAAGACAACAAAATCCGTTCTGTTTATTCCACACAATTGTGGCATCAATGTTTTTAAAGGATATAGATTGATTTCACACTGAACAGACAGAGTGGTGGGAGGGTGTTTTTTAGAGTCTGGCTCTCAACACACACAGAACTTTGGCTGCAGTCAGTTCTCAATACTTTGGTGACAAAACACTCCAAACCAAAGACAGTGTGAAACTGACACCTTCAGTTGATCACAGGGAAACGTCTGTTTCTCAGGTAAAACTTGAACCAAGCCAAAGCAATTTACACTCTTAAATCTGTACCATATAGCAATAAATGAAGTGAAGTGCCTAAAGACATACAGTAACTAACTGTAGATACCCATGAAGCAGCATTCATGTTTGCATACTTTAAAAATATGGGTGTATTATTAAATAACACTTTGGTGTGCAGATCTCACCCTGTAGCTTTGGACGCCAGTGCTGAGCTTCTGGAGAGGCGGGCATTCACCTCAATGATACAGTACTCCAGAGAAGATGGATTCAGGGCATACTGGATATTACACTCTCCCACAATGCCTAGATGACGCACCACCTTAATAGCGGTCTCTCTCAGCATGTGGTACTCCTCATTGGACAGAGTCTGGCTGGGTGCAACCACAATGGAGTCACCTTTGAGATGACCAGAAAGGGCTATTAACTGAAGCGCTTGAGGATGCAAAACAAAAACAGTTTGCAACCATTGAGGTAAAAAGTAATCAAATATTTTCCTTTCACCGATACTAAACGCAAGTCTTGATCAATGTTTTTGAAAACATTTTAAAAATATTTATCAAAGAAAAAAATTAATTCTTTACATATTTCGTATTTTTTTAAATGATCAATATCATAGGTGTTTGACCATTTGAAAGCCTAAACTAACGTATATTATTCTATTAACACGCATTAAAAAGTGTTAAATTATGCAAAAATACTTTTTTATTAAAAATGCGTCTCATCACTGACACGCATGCATACAAGATTTTATTTTGCATAGGTAGGTACCTGTGTGGATGCCCAGAGGGTCAAAGTTCTCCATATTGCAGACAGTGACACAGTTATCAGCGACATCTCTCACCACCTCATATTCCACTTCCTTCCAGCCCAGCAGGGACTTTTCCACCAGGATCTGCCTGCTCATGGCCAGGGCCTGTAACAGAACAGAGTAAGAGCGAAAGGACTTAAAGGAGTAGTTCACTTCTAAAAAAAACTTTTGCTGATAATTTACTCACCCCCATGTAATCCAAGATGTCCACGTCTTTCTTTCTTCAGTGGAAAAGAAATTAAGGTTTTTGATGAAAACCAGTGGTGTAGTCTACGTGATACGCAGGTATACGCCGTATACCCACTAGAAAATGTCAAGGATTTGCGTATGCCCACTAGGAAATGTCAAAGATCTCCGTATGCCCACAGCCCACTTTAAAAAGCATGAGGATTCGTAACAACATCGTTTTGTGAAATAAATTTCCTACGACATCAGCCCCCCTAAACGTAAGGCGACAGAATTTCGTGTTCCCTAATCTAATTAGATTCAGCGCGCGAGCAGAGAGCACGTCAAAAAAGAGGACATGGCGTGTTTGTGTGTTCGTGTTCATCTGAGCCTCATTGGTCTGTCACTGCTCGTCAATGTCAGAATATTTGAGATGACAAATCAAATCAAAGTAGGCGGGCTTTATTTCAAAGACGCTGCTGAGCGCGAATTTCAGCAGAGTGACTCGACGCTTCAGTTTACAGGCAAGTGCGAGAAAAGATGTAAGTGGCTAAACTTAACATTTCATATTTTACATTTTTTTAGGTCATGAATGTTAAACGAATGACAAAAAATAATCAGGCAAACTATAGTTTTGTGTAATTTCGCCATTTTGAAGTGAAATAAATACTAGGCCTGTAACGTGACTGGTATATCACAGTATACTCACTACAAAAAACTAGACTACACCACTGATGAAAACATTCCAGGATTTTGCTCCATATAATGGACTTCAATGGGAACCAAACGGTTCAAGGTCCAAAAGACCGTTTCAGTGCAAACTGCAAACTGTTCAAAGGGCTTTAAACGATTCCAGACAATGAATAAGTCTAGATGAGTCTTATCAAGCAAAACGATCACTCATTTAAAGAAAAAAAAAAAAGATTGTGTGATGCGCGTTCGTGACTCTCCTGTTCGAACTCGTTCATCAAAATGAATGAATCTTTTCCCGAGTCAATTCGTTCATTTCATTCGTTGAATGAACCAAATGACATGAAAAATGATTTGTTCATTTTGGTGAACGAGTTCGAACAGGAGAGTCACAAACGCGCATCACAGAACAGAGCGACCATTTGAGCTTATAAAACTTTTTTTTTTTTTTTTTTTTTAAATGAGTGATCGTTTCACTTGATAAGACCCTTATTCATGGTCTGGAATCGTTTAAAGCCCTTTGAACAGTTTGCAGTTTGCACTGAAACTGTCTTTTGGACCTTGAACCGTTTGGTTCCCATTGAAGTCCATTATATGGAGAAAAATCCTGGAATGTTTTCATCAAAAACCTTAATTTCTTTTCGACTGAAGAAAGAAAAACATGGACATCTTGGATTACATGGAGGTGAGTAAATTATCAGCAAAAGTTTTTTTAAAAGTGAACTACTCCGTTAACCCACTTTCACCATGCCAAACCATCTAGAAAGCGTCCATATCAAGAGGAATCAAAATTTCCTTGATCTTCTTGAGATAAAAGGGTGTACTATGAACACATACCATAACTTTCAGAACTCAGCTTCATAACCACAGAAAAAAAGGCCATTTATTGAGACCCTAAGATGCAAAAATGTAGGTTTATTGATGTATGAAGCAAGCCCAAAGCAGACAAATTAGTTAGAAAAAAATGCAAATAGGAGATTAAGGAGAAAGCATAAAAAAAAGAATTAGACAAACAATATTTGGCACAAAAAAATACATTATTAGTGGACATTGGGGGGAAAACTAAAAGAAAAGAAAAACATACAACATGACCTCTTAAATCAAACATGAAACAATCTTTAAAAAAATCTCTGTTCAAGAGCAAACATTCAGCTATTTTTACACTATAATCGATCACAAAACATATCATATTTTAATTCAGAGCATCCACATGAATAGAAATAATTATCATCATGCTGTGTGATGTTTTACAGTGCTTACCTTGCGAGCGGTGTCCTCTAGCTTCTCTCTATTAGCACACAGGCCTGAACCCAGGCCACCCAGGGCATAAGCTGATCTCAGCATGACAGGGTAGCCAATCTCCTCTGCTGCCTTCAAGGCATCTGCCACCTTCCAGATCATCAGTACATAATCACAGACAAATATCTAATTAAACAGTGTCCAACTGTAGCATTTACTTTGAAAAGTTTCTCTGAAACCTCAAATATGACCGCATCACAACTTTGGGCAGTACCACTTTGTGCATCTCACCGTTTTAACAGCAATACTGGAGCAATCTTTTCATTGATCTCCATTAGTTTATCTGAAAAGAGTTGCCGATCTTCAGTGGCCATGATGGACTCAACAGGTGTGCCCAAAACCTGCACTCCATACTTCTGCAGGACGCCACTCTGAAAGAGCTCCACCCCTGGGACCACGGACAGGAACATAATGTATCATCAAATCAATCCTTCCAGTCCTGTTAAATTCGGTAAAGTGTGAGGCTGTTAGCTCACCGCAGTTGAGAGCCGTCTGTCCACCCATGGAGAGCAGGATGCCGTCGGGTCGCTCTACTCTGATCACCTCTGACACAAATTGAGGAGTGACGGGCAGGAAGTACACAGTGTCTGCCTGCTTGGTGCCAACCTCGTTAGTTTGTACAGAGGCAATGTTGGGGTTAATCAAAACTGTTTGCAGGTTTTCCTCCTGTAGACAGAAGCAAGAAACACTGCTGTGATAATGAACACCTGTACTTTTGTTTCAACTAGGTCAGTGGTTCTCAAACTGTAGTACATGACTTGACCCTGAACATGTACAACTCTTTAATAAACAGCATAGAATTACTTTATCATTATATTTTTTATTATTAATAGTTACAATCCTAGAGACACACACGTGTGCTAAAACTAAAATGATTACAAATTATTTTGTGTAATTGAAATTAAAAATGAATTAAAATATAAATACTAGGGCTGTCAAATGATTAATCACATCCAAAATAAAAGTTTGTGTTTACATAATATATGTGGGTGCACTGTGTATAATTATTTTATATATATATATATATATATATATATAAATACACACACATTTCAGAAATATTTTAATGTATATACTGCATATAGATTTATATGTAATTTATATTATATATAAATATAAATAATTTATATATTAATAATTTTTCTTCTTAAATATACAAGCATGTTTGTGTATTTATATATATATATATATATATATATATATATACAAAACAATTATACACAGTGCACCCACATATATTATGTAAACACAAACCTTTATTTTGGATGTGATTAATCGCGATTAATCGTTTGACAGCCCTAATAAATATATTACCCAAACAAAAAAAATGTAAATGTTGCCTTGGCATCTAACTGAAATAATTTTAAGTTGAAGTACTAAAATTACAACAAAACTAAAAAAATAAAACTAAAAATAAAATAGAAAAAAAAGAACTGGAAATATAAAAATACAATTTAAAAAAGCAAATAGCAAATTAAAAAAAAATTACAAATTAAAATATTGCTTTTATTAGAATAGTATTTCTATTCTAATAAATTTTATTTATTAGAATATTATATAAATAATACTAAAATAACACTAATATAAAAAAGATAAACAAATATGAGAAAAACAAAAGCAATAGTTTTTTTTTTTTTTTTGGGGGGGGGGGGGGGGGGGGGGTGCAGATATGAGATGCTTTTTACATTTATTTTTAATTGATATTAATCAAAGCATGGCATTATGTTACTAACAGCCCTTAAGATTGCAGTTTTGGAAGATGGTGTGCTAATGTCCCAACTACTTTACCAGCAAGACTTTCTTGGTCAACCAGATTTACCACAACACATTTTTGCTGGTGAACACATCTATGTCTAGTCAATTGACAACAAACTAGCACTAACTTACATACACACACTTGAACCTTCAAAATTATTCAAAGGCCGAAACAAGATCAAAAAGTCTCTATTTACTTTTCTAAATGCTTAAGGAATAGGGGCAGCATGACAGTGAAAAGGTGGTACTTGGATGGTCTGACTTGATACTTGGCCTGAAAGATCTGGGAAGGACTGACTGCAAAAAGGTAGAACCCCCAGAAATAAACAAAACCGCTCACCTTCATTGCTTTGACAGCCTGGGATCCTGAGTAGTCAAACTCTCCAGCCTGACCAATGGACAGGCCTCCAGATCCCAGCACCAGCACTTTGGATACCTGGATAAAACAAGGACAACAAACAAATACCTGTTTCTGTCCTTAACGCAACGTGACAGCAGAGAGGACTTCCAACTTATGTAGTTTGTCTCCCCCACCTGGACTCTCCGAGGAACAGCAGGTTTCTTTGGCATCACAGATGCGATACTCCCCTCCTTCCCCTTCCTTATCAGAGAGATGAACGCATCAAACAGGAACTATAAAAGATAATTGAAGAAAGTGCTCAAGTACACTGGCTGGTTTTTAATGAAATAATTTGCACCCCGCTGTGTAGGGCAGTCATGTATGAATCCCTATGGAGGATTCAACACAACATGATCAAGAGAGGACATTCAGCCATGAAAAACAAAAAGATCAGACTCTTCACAATACTCTGACAGTGCTGCGGTACCTCTGTGTCTGTGGGTCCTCCCTTGGCCTCAGGGTGAAACTGCGCTGTGAACACTGGCTTGGTATTATGCATAATGCCCTGGAAAAGTAGATAAGAAAACAGTGTTCGGAGTTAACCTAGATTCCTCTAAAAGCAAATTTACATATGAATATTTTCAACACAGCCTAAGACTTAATTATCAATAACGACAGAGGCTAGTAGTCAACCCTATGATGAGGTGTTACTTTAAAGGGATAGTTCACTTTGAAATTAATTTTTGATATGTTTTAGCTTACCTCAAGGGCATCCAAGATGTAGGTGTCTTTGTTTCCACAGTATTTTCAATTTTGATATTTTTAGGTCAAACTGTTCGTGTCATTCAGTCATATAATGGAGGTCTATGGTCACCACCTCAAAGAGCATGCACAGAGAAGTCCAAGCTGAACATGATTTAATTACTCGTAAATGTAAGTATACATTGATGGCCTAAGACACAAAACGAGTGGTTTGTGTGAGAAAACAAACCGTATTTATATCGTTTTTACCTCTTATAGCCACGTCCAAGTGATCTGAGGCCACGGGCTCTTTGTGGCAACAAGAGTTAAAAACGATACTGTTCGTTTTCTCACACAAATCACTCATTTCGTGTCTTACGAGTCATGAAATAATGTTTAAATTGGACTTCTCTGTGCATGCTCTTTGAGGTGGTGACCATAGACCTCCATTATATGACTGACAGACAAGAACGGTTTGACCTAAAAATATCAAAATTGAAAATACTGCGGAAACAAAAACACCTACATCTTGGATGCCCTTGAGGTAAGCTAAAAGATACCAAAAATTAATTTCAAAGTGAACTATCCCATTAAAGGAACTATCCCTTTAAACACAGAAGCGAAATGCATCACTAAAAAACCTTCCAGGCACTTTTAATTAATTTTTCCACAGTCAGTCACAGTTAAAGTGATAGTTCATCCAACAATGACAACATTTTTGAGTCTGACAGAAAGATCTCACGAAAATTCACATTTTCGCTCATGCTCCGTGTGAGAGAGAATGTTATAAAGGTTTGAAACGACATAAAGGTGAGGAAATTATGAGAGAATTTAAATAGCATTGCGTAAAGCATACATTTTAGGTTAAATCCAGCAACACAGACCTCATTGGTTCCATCATTTGCATTGGTGAAGAGAGGACTCCAGCCTGGAGGTAGAGACTCGCTGTCTATGCCATACCCATGATTCTGAGCTGTGATAAAAGCTTGGCCCGTCATCACGTTCACAACTGGCTGATTTTGGCCTCTGCAAAAAATATTTTGAATTAGTCTAAGGTTACAAATGACAAACGTTATGCTTTCTCTTCTTCCATGGTATTTTTTTTGCCTTGCATTCCATTTCCAGACCCACATGGGATCAAATTTGACAGTAAATGAGGGTATATGTACCAGATCATATAGTAGATAATAATAATAATAATAATAATAATTAGTAGTACCTGTTTCCCATTGGTAGTTTATAAGACCGTGCACCAGCTGCCAGAGCTGTGATTTGATTCCCCATACAAATGCCAAACACTGGCTGAGGACGGTCACTTTCCAGCACCTGAAGTTCAATGTGATGGCAGCATGAAAGATGAGCAAATTCCCATTTAGTTTACAGCTGAACTTAATCTTTTTTTCCACTTGTTTTCTAATGTAAATGTTTTCTGTTTGCAGTGTGTATTTACATCTGTAATGTAACATATTTCCAAGAAAAACAGCACATTAAATGAAAAAATACCAGTGTGGCCTAATTGATGTCAGCAGAAAATGAAAGTTGTTTCAGATGAATGATTCCAAATGAACTGTTCAATTGCATCATACCTTGCGAACATTTTGAATCAAGGTCTTTGCCAGCGAAGGATCTCCTGGGCCGTTGGAAATGAAGAGACCGTCATACTCCAAACTCATCAGGTCTTGGTCCCATGGCACTAAATGCACCTCTGCTCCATGCTATGATATGCAAATGAAAAGATTTGAAATATGATTAGCTATAACGTCTATTGCTTCCACAGAAGAAGACCACAGCCAAAATCCCCTACCTTGACAAGTAGTCTTATGATATTGTGCTTGATTCCACAGTCAACAGCAACCACTTTGATTGGATTACCTTTCCCAAACACTTGAATATCCTTAAAGCAGTAAGAGACATGGTGAACACTCACTGAAGAAGCAGTGACAGCAATTTGATCGAGTATGCAGGTTACCTTGGTAGAGACCTCAGCCACTAGATTCCGCTGGTTAGGGTCTGTGATCTCCACTTGCTGACCATCAAATTCAATCTTACCCAAAACGGTACCCTTATTAGAGCGAAAAAATAGGAACCTTCAGAATGTATTTAGGACAAACTATGCATACTTCAAAGTTGTGTAAATTCTGACCTTGTCTCTAATGATCTTTGTCAGCATCCTTGTATCTATTCCAAAAAGTGCCGGCACCTGTAAGTTAAAAAACGCTTTAAATACTGTAGTAAGTAAGTAGAAGTAGGATATATGGAAACACACCTTCTCCTCTTGAAGCCACTGAGCCAGTGATTTTACAGAGTTCCAGTGACTGTACTCATGACTGTAGTCCTGAACCAGCAATCCTGACACCTTTCAACAACAAATACATGGGAAAAAACAATCATTTGGCTGACAATTTTATCCAAAAGTGACTTATACTGCATTCAAGGTATATATTTTATCCGTTCTTGTATTCCCTAATAATCAAACACATGATCTTCGCATTGCTAGTACTGTACGAGCTGCAGTGCACAGCTCACCTGAATGCGATCAGACTCCACATTTTTCTTCAGTCCCAGTTCATCCAGCTCCTGTGTGTTGGGAACACCATAGTTTCCCACGATGGGGTAGGTGAGGGTCAGGATCTGCCCTCTATAACTGGGGTCTGTCAGAGCTTCGGGATAGCTGGAGAGATGATAGAAAAAAACATTAAAATGCTGAAAGTCAGCATCAAACTAAACTTGCAATAGTGTTTTCTTCCCTATTGTGACGTATATGTGCATAGATGAATAATCTATAATAAATACTGCAATTGTCTACTCTAAAAATGCAAGAATTGTCCATTTTGATTGCATGGTGACTTTAAAGCTAATATTACAGTAACTTCTGTATTGGTTTGACAAAGTAACTGGTTGTGTTGCCACTGAGTGTTTATCTGGAAAGTGGTTTCATTTGCTCTTTTCTACAGCTGCCAAAACACTGCCCACATTCAGACGGTCCTTTCTTACCCAACTAGTCCTGTGTTGAAGACCAACTCTCCAGCTGCAGATTGATCATGACCAAAGGAGAATCCCTTTATCTTGGTCCCATCTTCTAGTACCAGGTGTGCAGTCTGAGTCTGGACATTAGACTTAATTTAGGCAACAAATGTGTCTGAGGTAAGGAATTCATGCAAAATTTTGCAGCTTTCCAGGATTATTGACAGTTAAATTTTCACAAAAGCTTTCTTACCTTATATCATGTAAATGAATGCGCTCAACCAATTAACTCAAAGATAACACACCTTCAAACTGAGCAACCTCGTTGATGTTCTCCAGTTGCGCCATCCCAGCCTCAGTGATTTGGCAACTCCACAGACTGTTAAGATTTTTGACATATTTTGTCCAGAAATGTTTTTTTCTCTCCTTACAATATGCGCTATTTTCAAACTATGTGTGAATATAAACTTAAAATGGTTTTAAAATACTCCCAACCACCAGTGAACACAACGCGCTCCGTCCACCTGTTGCCGCTGTGTAAAGTTAGAGATGGAGAGCACGTGAACTCTATCATCGCTTACTCAACGCGCTGTGCTCTGATTGGTCAGTTTCACTTCAACGGCAGAAGACGATGCTGCTGGTAATTATTAAATGTTGCCAATATCGGCGATTCAATATTGTAAATCATATATAGAACTCACGGTAAATTAATGCATGACCAAACACTTAAATATATAAAATTAAATATGCAAAAGCATATGTTAAATTACTATGCAAAGGCATATGTTATATATGTTATAAATATAAATTATATATATATATATATATATATATGTGCTTAAATGTAAATTAAGCTCAAATGAAGTATAATTATATTTCATAATATATATGTTATATTTAAACCTATTAAATTTTAGTGTTGCCTTGGCAACTAAATGAAATAAGTTTACTATGAAGTTTCGTGTTGTTAAAACTGAAAAAAAAAACAATCACCTTAATAACATGTATATATATATATATATGAAGATAACAAATTACAACTACTTACACTAAAATATAAAAAATTAAAATATAAAAATAAAATATAAAATTCTTTATTAAAAATTATTCAAATTTGAATACATAAATAATACTAATTACATATAATTACAATAATGAAAAGCATAAATGCAGTTTTGTTGCAACATCCAAATTAATTTGTAGAAAAACCATAACATAGCCTAACATCTATTAAACTTCAAATACCACCAAACATAAAATACAATAAAATATAAATGTATAAATCTGTTTAGTGCTGCAATTTAAGTTGCATTTCAGCCATATTGTGTCCAGTTGCGCCATATAATTCAAACAAAACCTTATTGCATCAGCCAGTGCAGACCACAGGCTAAAGCAGCTGTCATATGTTGTATTCAGGATTTTTAAAAGGAAAGCTCAAACATGCCATTTAAAGGAGAAGCACACAGACTTCTGATGAAACTACAGCACTTCCTAACCATGCATTCACATTTGCAACCCTGATCCACAGTTTGCTACAGTGAGCAAATCCCTGCTCTTTTCCTCTCCTTCTGACAATAGCGAGAGCCCTATCACACTGTAAAAAAATATATGCCTCTCCAACATAAAAATTTCTAGTGACCCGTTGCACCTAAAATTTTTAGTTGGCCCAATTTAAGTTGCGGAAACCAACTTTTTTGTGTTGTGCTGACTACCCCTGCATGTCGACCTAACTTGAAATAGAATGTTGTCAATTAAATATTTTCTGTTGACTGAACAGCTTGTTGGGCCAATGAACAGACTCAAATTGAAATAAAATGTTGTATTAATTAAATATTTCATGTTGGCCAAAAAGTCTATTTTTCATTAATGTTGGTCAAAAAAGTCTCTTTTTCATTATTTCAAATAAATAACACACTAGGCTCTGATAGAGTACATTTTATGCATTTATTAAAATACAAAAGACTTGCCTGTTAGTCTCAAGTAAAATATTACACAAGTATTCAAATAGTGCCGAAACAAGATCTGAGAGTTCAAGAAAGCGTGGCATATAACTTAGTCAATAGCTGTACAACAAATATCTGCTTTACTCAGTAAAACATTACAGTGGCTTTGCCTGTAAACATATGACATTTTTAGTCTGTTAGTCTAAGACTAAGGGCAATTACTGTACATTACATGGAAAAAATAAAATACAAAGTACTGCCCACTACTTTCAGGTTACATATGTCACTATGTACATTAAAACAGTTCTATTGGCAAAATAAATCTCTACTTTAAAAAATTAAACATTCTAATATTTCTCAGGGATGAATGCTTTGTAGGGATGGGCAACGATTAATCGCATCCAAAAAAAAGTTTGTGTTTACATAATATGTGTGTAGTATGTATAATTAACTTGTATATATAAATACCCATGTATGTATATATTTAAGAAAAAAATGTTATTAATATATCAAATATAATATTAATTATGTATAACTACAAAGTATATACATGCTATTTCTTAAATATACATGCATGTGTGTGTATTTATATATACAAATTAATTATACACACTACATACACATATTATGTAAACACAAACTTTTATTTTGGATGCGAATAATCACGATTAACCATTGCCCATCCCTACTGCTTTACAAATCAAATATCAATTTATTTGATCAACAAGTTCCAGAGCAGCAGTTTAAGATAATCTTCTGGACTGCCTCAAATGTGTACCTTAAGTCCTTACTCCATTTTACAGCATAAAGCAGACCAAAGAGCATCACGAGGGCATTTGTGAAGTCTTCCAAATTGTCCATGACAACTTCCTCCTCCAGTACTACAGCCACATTGACCACTGTGGAATATGGTCCTGAGTTGGTAGAACTGTCAGTCACTTCCAGGATCCCCATTTTCATGGCCTTTGTGTGTGGCCCCAGTGCCTCAGTATTCTGTGAAACACAATAAATGACACTAAGTGTCAGACTGAAAGCATACTGTCTTATGCAATCATTACTGCATCTCAAACAGTAATACCATAAAGATATTCAAATTACCTTAATAGTCTTTGAAATTGAAGCTGGCTCTCTCATGTACAGGGGAAGACCACGAAGAACAGCAGACCCATAAGTGGTTAGATCTGTGGTCTGCCAAAAAGACAGGTCATCAATAAGACATTTTAACCCATTTAATCCCAAATTTTGCAAAAAACACAAAAATATCCAAATCAAGTATCTTTAATGTGCGTGTGGGGTGTGCTTGCGTGCAGGGTTATGTGGTGTGTGCGCGTGTGTGTGGGTGTGTGATGTGTGCGTGCAGGGTTGTGGGGTGTGTGTGTGTGCGCGCGTGTGGGGTGAGTGTGGGTGTGTGATGTGTGCGTGTGGGGTGTGCGTGCGTGCGTGCATGGTTGTGGGGTGTGCGTTGTGTGGTGAGCATGATTTGAGTGTGGGGTTTGTGGTGTGCGGGTGTGTGATATGCGTGCGTGGTGTACGTTGTGGGGTGTGTGGTGTGTGCGTGATGTGAGTGTGTGGGGTGCGTGCGGGGTGTGTTGCGGTGTGCGTGATTTGAGTGTGTTGGGTGCGTGATGTGTCTGGGGTGTGTGTCTGAGTGGGCTGTCTATTTTAGGATGTGCTCTCCATAAATGTTTTTTTAAGGGCCCTGTTGTTGTAAAAATACAAACACAGTCTGGATGAATGCAAGGAAAATAACCTTTACCTGCTTGCCAATGATGAAGCATTGCATATGTGCACTGCAGATGTGAAAATGTACAAAAGCAGCACTGCATTTAGCTTTAAGTCTGAAAAAAAAAAAAAAAAAAAAAAAATATAAGTCTTTGAAATTGAAGTTGGCTCTCTCAAGTACAGGGGAAGACCACGAAGAACAGCAAACCTATAAATAGTTAGATCTGTGGTCTGCCAAAAATACAGGTCATCAATAAGACATTATTAACCCATTTAATCCAATTTTTTCCAAAAAAAACACAAAAATATCCAAATCATGTGTCATTAGTGTGTGTGTGCGCGTGTGTTGTAAAAATACAAACACAGTCTGGATGAATGCAGGGAAAAGAACATTTACCTACTTGCCAATGATGAAGCCTGTAGCCTGTGTCTTGCTGCAGATGTGAAAATGTACAATAGCGACACTGCATTTAGCTTTAAGTCTGAAAAAATACCTGAAAAACAAATAAATAACGTTACAAATGCATAAATAACACATAGTTCTATACACAGAACCATACTTCAGTATGTATTAGGGTTTTCTAAAAAGTACTTGTGCAAAGTACTAGCTGCTAACACGATGGCACACGGGCTTTGAATGGAAACTAACTCAGAACTAGCCTAAATGATCAGTCACTCTGTGATAGCAAAAGCACTAAGTTAGTTGTCAAGACTAGCTGTCTGTTGCAGTCAATTATCACACATATATAAAGAATGCAACTGGAATTTAAAAACATTGAACATTTAAAATATTAAACAGGAACATAGGGTTGCCACCTATGTCTGATAAAAAACCGGGACATATCGACAACCCGCCCACCGGGAATTACATGCGTTTCTAACATGTCGAGTGCGAGGTCTCCCCCTCTGTGCCGTGCACGCGGCCGCGCACTACACAGTTTGAACATTCACGTAGCCTTTCGGTTTCGGAAACGAACGAGTGCTTAAATTTCCCGAGGCAAGTTATTAAAAAGAAGGACAAATGACAATCCTGGTAAAACCGGCACAGGTGGCAACCCATGCGATGCTTAACCGTGTGGTTCAACGTTAAAACCGCATGCCAGTTGGAAAGGAATGCTAATCACTTAACGTTACTCACAAGATATATTCTTAACCTAAATTTGCTAATTACCTCGCAACACAAATAAAGAAAATTCACTCACCAATTCAATGTCGTGACTCGTGGCGGGGGAAATTCAAAAGCCTGGTAGAACTCCTTTGCGCATGCTCAGACGATTGACGCTGTTCCCTCTTGCTCGGCCAACATAATATTTTTTGTGCAATGTTAAAAATTCTGTGAACACCGTTATTTATTTTCTCCTGATGAACATTTTGTAGTACAGTCATGGAAATCATGTAATCATTGACCAAACATATTTTTCTTTTTTGACACAACCATTATGTTGATCCAACATGTATATCCTCATTTGTACAACTATTTGCATCAATCATTTTTTACAGTGCAGGGGATTAATGCTGGAGCAGGACTTTGCTGAGCATGCTGGGAGGGCTCAGTTCCAAGGCCGCCACTCTGGTGGATTCAGCAGTCTGTCAGAAACGGCACATAATGTGCATCACCATTCAGCAAAGACAAAGTCTTCAGACAGGAACAATATACATCAACTGTGGCTGTGGTTGTAAGCAGTGTCGACTTGACCACAAACTAGACCATGGTTCTGTGTAACAGATGTGTTGCACACTGCACGTTTATATGGGTGAAACATGGTCTCATTGACAGTTTAGTTTGATTAGTTAAATTATACTTTATGTATATAATTTATCTCAATTATAAACTCTTTAAAATTAGCCTACAAAACGTTGCTATTAGGGTGAATTCGGGTTGATTGGGACACTTTCCCCCAGCCATCTTAATGGCAAAAAGTGGCCCAATCAACCTGAATTCCTAGATATCGTAAAATCACCACTAAAAATCACAAAAAGGTTTGGCTCCAACTTTATGCAACCCAGGAAATTG